TCCGGCTATACGTATAGTATCATTGCTGTGTGTAAGTGGACTACTTGCTAAATCCGAAACCAAGACATCTTCTAGCTGAATATATTTTTCTTAGATATGGGTGCATTTAACTTGCTTTACTTTCTAGGCAATATGATTCAAAGTTAATTGATTGCCTCAAATCAAAAGAACACTTGTATATTCACCACATATAGACATCTATTACTTGTAATACAACTTTTTTTTTTATATCCGCGGTGTCTGGGTCAGCTTGTACGCACCTCGGCTAATTCCACTAGATGTCACCTCCCAACAGCAACAGGTACCAGGTCACATATGGGAAGAAATCACCTAATTTTTTGACTCTGCTGGGATTTGAACCTGAGACTTCATGGTGCTCAAATGTGTTGTGCTATTCTGTTCAAAATACTCGGCGATTTTACCTGCTTTATGTCTCTCCTAATTTCATGATGCTTCTTGAATTGCAGCACTCCTCTGTAAGATTGCAGCATTGAGATCCTTTTCTTTGGACAAGTTAGAATACTGGAGGGAGAGAGAAAGCGGCATGAGCAGTCTAGCTTATTTCCTTTCTAAGGATACAATAGACCATTTCAATACTGTTATAAAGCCTTTGGTTTACCTGTCTATGTTCTATTTCTTAAATAGTCCAAGATCATCCTTTGGCACCAACTACCTCGTTTTCCTCTGCCTTGTATACTGTGTGACTGGCATAGCTTATGTGTTTGCCATCTGCTTTGCACCTGGACAGGCACAATTGGTATGTACCACAGCCACGTTCTCCATTAATATGATGTATTTCTTTTTCCTGACTCTTTATGCTGACAAGCTTCTTCTTGCCCCATTCGAACAGTGGTGTGTTCTTGTTCCTGTTGTTTTGACTCTCATTGCAAACCAGGAACCAGACAGTACTGCCGGAAAATTAGCTAAGTTTTGTTACCCAAGGTGGGCTTTGGAAGCATTTGTCGTTGCAAGTGCGCAGAGGTTGGTAGTTCATATTCTCCTCTGGTTTCTGTAAACTGCTAGATCATAATGCGGAAGTATATATTTGTTGCTCCCTCATCGGCATCCTTAAGAGTTGAGGTTGTATTCTTGTCAGTAGGCGTTGTTGCATCGATACTTAGGAAACTATAAATTGATGCTCTGATAGCACCAGCTCTCAGAACTTTTAACATGCTTTTCAGTTTTCACCATTCACAAGGCTGTAGAAATTTAGACTATTGCCTTTACATCATTTATTCCCTGTCCATAAAAGGCATAATGCAATCTGTTAAGAAAACCTTCACTCTGACATGGTCAAACAAATAGAATGACCAATTTTTGGCTATGTTGCTTGAACTCTCAAAATATGTTATCATACCCGTGTCGTGTCCTCCAAAAATGCACTACTTTTGGAGGATCCGGCACGCGCCCGACTAACATATTTGAAGAGTCCGAGCAACATAGATTTCCTGTTGTTGTTGATCACATTATGCTAGCATTTTCTCATCTGTTTGGCTATGTTGCTCGGACCCTCCAAAAATATCGTCATACCCGTGTCTTATCCTCAAAATATGCACTACTTTAGGAGGATCTGACATGCACCTCTTAGACAATTTTGAAGAGTCTGGGCAACAAAGATTTCCGATTGTTGTTGATCACATTAAGTTGGCATTTTCCCATCTATTTGACTATGTTGCTTGGACTCTCCAAAAATATTGTCATACCTGTGTCGAATCCTCCAAAAACGCACTATTTTTGGGGGATCCAACACGCACCCGTTAGACATTTTTGAAGAGTCCGAACAACATAGATTTTTTTATTGTTATTAATCACATTTTGTTAGCATTTCCTCATCATTTTGGCTTTGTTGCTCGGACTCTCCTTAAATGTTGCATTACCTATGTTGGATCCTCCAAAAATGCACTCACTATTTCTAGAGGATTTGGCACGCACTAATTGGTATTCTTGGACTTGAAGAGTCCGAGCAACACATATTTTTGGTTATTGATCACATTAGATTAGCATTGTCTCGTATATTTGCCTTTATGGTTGTTGATCACATCTAGTCAGCATTTTCTCATATGTTTGGCTATGTTACTCGGACTCTCCAAAAACATTGTCGTTCCTGTATCGGTAGGCACTAATTTTTTTTTTTGTTTCTCTTCAGATATTCAGGAGTATGGTTGATAGCAAGATGTGGCAAATTATTGGAGCTAGGCTTTGATGTGCATAGCTGGAATACTTCTCTAATCTTACTGATTCTCACTGGTGTAGTTAGTCGTTTAATAGCTTATGTTTGTTTAGTATGTCTTAAAAAGAAATAAACCATTTTTTTTCTTCTTAACATATATTGTTGTTTACAACAAGATTAAAAAAAAAAAGAGGCATAGGTTTAGGGGCTTTTGGCATATAATGTATATTACAACAAGGTTTTTTGACAATGTGCTAAAGTAGCTTCTTCATTGATGGAATGGGAGAAGGGATGATTTTTTCGACAAATAAAGTGAAAGTCCGATGGACTAAGCTCTCATTAGGGATCCTGGGAAGGGGACGGGTTGTATACAATTATTGCATTTTTGTAAGAGGTTGTTCTAGCAACTTTATGATCTTGCTATGTACAATGACCTTGGAAGGGTCGGATCATGCCGGATCTATTGCATTTCTACTAAAATGACAGTCCGAGTACTCTAAGCTTCCACTGTGTGCAGTGTTCATGGAAGGATGGACATGTTGGGTTGGGTCGGGCCATATTAAAAGTCTCGAAATTCATTGAAAAGCCAATAAAAATGGAGTATCTAATAAAGTCTGAAGGCTAATGCAAAGGTAAACCCTTGATTTATGTGATAAAGGAAGGGAATTTTTTTTTAAAAAAAAGTGGCATTAGGTGTGTGATTTGATGTTTAACGAAGTGAAATGAAAATTATGTGAGAACAGAGTTTAAATTTATCAAAAAATATAGATTCGACTTTTATCGAAAGACGAGAAATATTATTATTATAGTGATTGTTCTTCGTTATTTGGTAAGTTCTTGAAAGGTAATAACTAATATAATATACAAAAATTGATTAGACACCATCGTTATATAATTGGCAGATTTTATACTTAACATGAAACATGTTTAATTAATCATTTGTTAAGAGATGCATAATTATTTTCTAAGACTGTTCCAAAGTTTATTTATTATACTACTAGTACTCTTTTGAACCTACTGCAAAAATTAAGTATATTACACTTAAAAGTAGGAGGATATAATTGTTGGGTTTAAGTAAAGGTGTGAATAGAAAATGAATGGTTGCAACTCTTTTGAAAGGTTGTGATTTTTATGAAGGGTTGTGATCTTTACGAAATGTTGTGTCTTTTTTAAAGGGATGTGACCATTCGAAAGGTTGCGCATTTTTCAAAGGGTTGTGACCTTTCTGAAAGATTTCCCTTTTTCAAGGAGTTGTGACCTTTTCAATAAGACAATTAACATATTTTCATATTATTCTTTGTTTGCTATAAATAGAGAGGTTTTATCTCATTTTTCTGCATTCTTCCATACATTTCTTACCAACAAAATCGATCGTGTCTGCGTGTTTCATCTCGTTGCTGTCTTTTTGAATTCATTGAAATTATCGAAGTTTGAAGCACTGCTACTTCTTTAATGGTTAATCCATTTTATCTTGGGAGGAATTAATCTACAACCTTGAATACTTGAGGATATTAAATTTTGTAAGAACACATAGTAATTTTTTGTGGATTTAGATAGTTCTTTTTATTTTTTTATTTTTATTATTTCCGATTTGCTAATCTAATGAATACATGAGACAACAATAATGAGGAGAAAGGCTGACTAATGGAAGCTTTTTGTGTCCAAAGAATAGATTTGTGTTTTCTACTTCTTTTGTGTGCACGCAAGTTTCAATTTTACATGCATAAATATACATTTTTTTAATTATTATTTTAGGTATTTTAATTTAATTAGTTATGACTTATGAATAACTAAAAAATAATGATTTTTTATATTTTAAAATTCAAAATATATTTAATATAATAAAATAATCTTTAAATATTATATTACAATCTTAAATATATCACATGAGATATTTAGAATTAAAAATTACCAAATATAAACAATGATTCATTTTAAAACATGCTGAAAGGAAAATAATACATATAAATTGAAATATAGGGAAGGTATATTTCAAGCTTTGCACCCATATTCTTGAAGTATTATAGATCACTATCCTTTTAAAGTTGTATAAAATCAAGAATTATCTAAATTAGGATGGTAAAATTATATTATAGAATCATGAATTACCTAATCCGTTTAGATTTAAATGGGGTTAACAATTATTCATTCATTAACTCAATCCATTTAATTCTTTCAATTTAGTTAGTTTAAAAGTCAAGCAATATATCATCTTGATCTATGAAAAATAATTATCAAAGTATTTTTTATCATGAATTTTTTTTTTTTATTAAATACTTAAATAAATTATTAAAAATAGATCAAGAAAATTAAACTTACAAAAAATTGTGCAGATTAAAATTTAACCTATTATTACTTATTACAAATTAAATAGGAAGCTGATCATTTATCAATTCAACTCTTATTTTATTCATTTATTAACTCAACATGTCCATTTGAATATCTAAGTAAAAACATTATAGAAACACTTTGATTTTTTTAAAAAAAAAATTACTATCTAAAATAAACTTATTTAAATCTCAAAATTCGAAAAATATTACTAGATAAAGAAATATATTTCTTCTAAGAATGTCTCATACTTTAATATCCCCCCTATAATTGAAGTAGTGGTTAGCACAAAAAATTGCAAAAAAGGAGTGCCACGTGTCAAAAGCAAAAGAGACGTAGCAATTCAAGAGAGTGCAATTCCACCGTAGCGGACTTGAAACTCAAGATTTTATCAAAACACTAAAAACGAAACTGACAACAACATATAATTCCTTTCGATTCCGTCCCATAAATGGTTGTATTGTACCTGCGACCCCTTTACTTTCCCCTTTTTTTTCTGTTCATTTTCTCTCTCTTAACACACACACAGACACATAGTTTCAGTGTCACTACAATTGAATGATGAATCAGGTTAGTGTTTTTGGTTTACTTTGTCAATTTTTGTGTTCTTTGATGGAATTTGTGTGTGGCATTGATGAATGGTGAAAAAGGGGTTGTGGAAATAGTGGAATTTGGTAGTAAAAATGAAGTCTTTATGTTTGTGTGGCAAGTTGCTGGACTTAAAAGGGTACTTGCATGTTAAATTTCTGCTCAAGTTTTGATTTTTTGGTATCCCTTTTGAGTAATAGAGGTGAAGAGTTCAGAAAGTAACCATTTTTATGTTAATTGAATGATGATTCAGGTTATTGTTTTTGGTTTTCTTTGTCAATTTTTGTGTTCTTTGATGAAGTGTGTGTGGCATTGATGTAAGGTTAAAAGGGGTTGTGGAAATTGGAAGTAAAATGTAGTCTTTATTTTTGTGTTGCAAGTAGTTGTACTTGAAAGGGTACTTGCATGTTAAATTTATGCTCAATTTTTTATTTTTTGGTACCCATTTTGAGTAATAGAGGTGAAGAAAGAAACCATTTTTATATTGACTGATGAATCAGGTTAGTGTTTTTGGTTTTCTTTGTCAATTTTTATGTTGTTTGATGGAATTTGTGTATGACATTGATGTATGGTTAAAAGGGGTTGTGGGAATTGTGGTTTGGCAGTAAAGATGTAGTCTTATTTTTGTGTTGCAAGTTGCTGGACTTAAAAGGGTACTTGCATGTTAAATTCTGCTCAAGTTTTTATTTTTTGGTAGCCCTTTTGAGTAATAGAGGTGAAGAATTAAGAAAGAAACTATCTTTTTATTAATTGAATGACACACACACAGAACTCTCTACACTCTCATTACAGTTGACTGATGAATCAGGTGAGTGTTTTTGGTTTTCTTTTTCAATTTTTATGTTATTTTTTGTACTTTTTGTATGACATTGATGTATGGTGAAAAGGGGTTGTGGAAATTGTGGGATTTGGCAGTAAAAATGTAGTCTTTATTTTTGTGTTGCAAGTTGCTGGACTTAATAGGGTACTTGCATGTTGAATTTCCGCTCAATTTTGATTTTTTGGTACCCTTTTGAGTAATAGAGGTGAAGGATTAAGAAAGAAACCATATTTTTAATAATTGAATGAGAGAGAGAGTTTCACTCTCTACATTCTCATTACAGTTGAATGATGAATCAGGTTAGTGTTTTTGGTTTTCATTGTCAATTTTTATGTTCTTTCTTGTACTATGATTGTGCCTATGTGGAATTTGTGCAAGACATTGACGTATGGTTAAAAGGGGTTGTGGAATTTGTGCGTTTCGACAGAAAAATGCAGTTCTTTTGTATGGCAAGTTACTGGACTCGTGCATGTTAAAATTTCTGCTCAATATTGGGTCTTTTATAGCGCTTTTTCCGTACTTTAGATTAACAGTGGTGAAGAGATAAACCATCTTTTTATTTATTGAATGACACACACTTCCACTCTACATTCTCACTATAATTGTTTCTCTTTACTGATGAATCACGTTAGTATGTTTGGTTTTCTTTGTCAATTTTTATGTTCTTTCTTGTACTATGATTGTGCCTATGTACAGTACATTATGTAATTTGTGCGAATTTTGGAAGACATTAATATATGGTTAGAACGGTTTGAGGGAATTTGTGTGTGTTGGCAGAAAAATGTAGCCTTTTTTTTCGTGTTGCGAGTTACTGGACTCAAAAGGGTTCATGTATGTAGAAATATCTGCTCAATTTCATTTTTTTGCTACCCCTTTTTCCTAAATTTAGAGTAAATTGATAGAGATGAAGGAGGAAACCATCTTTTTATTGCTTAGTAGAGTTTTTCAGTTGTATGTGCTTGAAAAAGCATTTGAAGCTTGGCGTGTCAATAATTGAATGACACTTATTTACTGATACATTGTAGAGTTATTTAAGTCTTTACCCCATGAATAAACAACGTGATTAATGCACAATGACACTCGATAAAATAGCATAGAGATCAACTAAGAAGAATACATTGTTAAAAAAAAATAGCACTGAGAAATTCCTTCTTGAAGTGCATTCCTTCCTTGGAATTATGGAGATCTTTTTGTCTTTATATGGAAGTCTTAGGCTCCATCCAAAGTACATGAAATTTAAGGGGTGTTCTGAAAACGTTTCCTCTTTTGGGGACATTGTTCAACTTGTGTTTCCCTATTTTCCTTTCCAAGACTGTCCTTTTAAGTTTCCTTTTTTCGCGAATGAAAAAGATTAAGGTTGAAAGCTCTCTTCCAGAGCATTTCCCTTTCTGAAGATGCATTGCTCAACTCGTGTTTCCCTATTTTTCCTACATCCCCTATAACTTCCCTATCACCCAAGCAGTGGCGTACACTTTTTTCGTCAGTGTCACCTTTTAAAATGAGAAACAATAAATAAACTAATGTAACACCCTATTTTTTTTTTGATAACCTTGAAATCCGTCTGTCACCCACCCTTTGGACCAATCACAACCTTCTAAACTCGGTGGATAATGGGCCCGCCCCTCTACCCTTCTCCACTTAAATACCGGGCTTCGCTTTGCATGGTGTGGGGCTTGAACCTACGACCTAAGCCACAAATCCTCCACCTTTTGCCACTCGAGCTAGGCCAGGCCTTGGGGGCAACTAATGTAACACCCTATTAAAAAAGAATGAAATACAAATAAAACACAATTCACGGGTACTATTGTTTCTTTTCTAAAATAATAAAAAATATACTATAACTTTTTCTCGATGAGTTTTCCTTTTTTGAAATGTACTTAAAATCACCTCAGTAGAAATTATAGTGCTAAATATCTTTTTATATAGGGCAGCAAATGATCAGTAAATAATTTATTATTCATTGAATTTCATAAATTGTTCTTAATCGATTTTATTGGTGAGAAAGAACGATAAAGGGAAAAAAACATAAAAAGGACCAAAAACAAAAGCCCAGCTTTTCTAAAATGAGGCTGTGTATAAAATGTTACATTGAGGCTATGCAGATTCGACCACACAACCTTATTTGTGGAAATGAAACTCCAAACCAACAGAGCTACTTGTCACTTTACTCAATATATCCTTTGTGTTATATATATGTATAATAGTAATAATTTCCAATGAAGCTGTGTCACATGACACCCCTTCGACCTTACTAAATCTGCCCCTGCACCCAGTCAAAGAAAAGCAAGGCTGGGAGCTTGTTTTTGGTAGCCCCTTCTGTTGGGCTGAGAAATGGAAACACATACACTTGAACATGTTAGAGTATAATTGTACCCAATAAGTTGATTGTTTTGGTCCGTGGAACAGAATGACTTTGCAATTCGCGAGGGGTAAAAACAAACTCGATAAAGATAATGTTTTTCCATAAGTTTGAGAAGAGTGAAATGCTTAAAATGGTAAAAGGGAAGGATAATTTACTTTGCCGATTTATCCAAAAAAAAAAAACAAATAGACTGCTAATTACCAAGTAACATTCCTGTCGTTCTCATTTTGAAAATGACGTAAAAGAGTTCACGATTGGCAGGGTTATTAGTGAATCGTGGCAACTCTAGATGAATTCTCTCAATGATTTGCAATTTTGAAGTCTTTACGGATTCAATGGTTATTTGGTGCAAAGGCTATTTATTTTTAAGGCTAATTTCTTAAATTTGTTGCACCTGTCTCTAGGATGTTCAGCGCTAGCTCAAAGATTTTGGGACTGTTGTTCTCATTAAAGCTTACAAGTTTTTTGAGTGTGTATCTTTCTTGCGTTCATTTTTATTTTCTTAGGACAGTTTTTGAAACATTGGTTTTAAAAAATATTTTTCAATAAGCCCACTTACCTAAATACTGCCCTTGATGTATGACCTGCCTACACAGTGTCGCTGACACAAATTCTTTCACCGATGAATACTGTGATGAATACTGTGTATGTTCCGAGAAATAATGAAACAGGAGAGGAGATGGAAATAAAGTTTACCTATCTTACACCTAAATGCTTTTACAGGCACATATTAGACATCTATCTATGTTGGACATAAGTCTGTTAGAATGTTCCGCATTGGTTGAGGGGATGGGTTATTGTCTCCTTATATGGTCTTGAACAACCCTCCCTAATGAACTAGCTTTTTGGGTTGAGTTAGACACAACATTGGTTGAGGTATGAGTTGGTGTCTACTTATGTGGTTTTTGGGCATGAGCCAGCTTTTAGTGTTGAGTTAGTCCAAGGTTCTTTTTCTTTTTACTTAATCTGCTACATCTATGCATGTATTTACCTTAGTCTGAGAAAGTGTCCTAAAATTTTTCCATCTGTGTTTGCAGAATTCAGCATATCGAAGTGGTTTTGCTTCTCTAGGGGTCTGGTTTGATGAATCAGGTACTAACTAATGCATTTTCAACAATATACTAATTTGCACTGTGGATGCTTTGTGCTGGTGCAAATGTTAATTGTCTCATTGTTTAAGAGTCTCAAACTACTTGTTACTTCACATGAACTAGTATATTCCTTGTTAAGTTGCTTTGTTTTTCCCTTGTCTTGCTTATGTGATTCAGATTCTTTTTCCCGTTTATAATTGATGTGGATACACTATATAGGCTTTTCTCATTATCTTGTGTTACTAATTTATTATGATCTAAGGAAGTCATTACCTTGTTCTTTCTTGTTAATCCAGATGAATATGAAATCTTGGTACATTGATTGTTCTGTTTTGGGATTTAATGGCAGCTGGAGTTATGTCTATTTTGACAGTTGCTTAGATTGACCAAGGTGGTAAGTTTGACACCCGAACCTGCATTGTTGTTCTAATAGGCAGTTCAGGTGCCACAATTTGTGATTCCAAGCTTAATGTATATGCAGAGAGGAATTGCTCAGTTGTAATGGTATATAGATGACCCCATAAAATCAATTACTTAAAAAAAATAGGCTAAATAGCATACCTAGTCAAATATGTTCTCTTTAGCTTTTTGTATGTCTGATGATAGTATCAGCTATCGGGTTCTTTTGGTTTTTGGTTGCTAATTTGTTACTTTACTGTAAGTTTTATTTTATGTACCAACAAGGGTTGTGGTGGAGTGGTAAGTACTCCTTCACCTGTAACTAGAGATCTCGGGTTCGAGTCCCCTTGGGTACGGAGTCGCCTTTGTTAGGGAGCGTTGTACCCCCCAATGTGGGACTTCTTGGCGCGAATCTGGATTTAGTCGGGCTCCAATGTGAGTACCGGACACCGGATGGGAAACCAAAAAAAGAAGAAGTTTGATTTTATGTAGTGTAATCTTATATATTTTTCCTTTTCTGCAAGTCGCTAGAGATGAACTTCACTCGTCTAGATGTAGATGTATTGTGACTCATGCAACAAAAAGCACAATTTGAATTAATTCCTGCAGCATGATTCCCATTCTTATCCGCCATAAAAAGGAAACAGAATCCAATCCTTGTGCAGAGTGAATATTATGTACTGAGACCTCAGACCAGCGTATCTCATAAAAAGAATTACTCACCATGTCTTGATGATTTGTTTTTTTACGTTTTTTGTGGTATTGTAATTACTGATTCTTAGCTCATAGAAGATGAACCTGTTATTCATCCTTTAGAAGATGATACGATTTTTGCTGTATGTTGCTTTTAGAAACCCGTGATGATCATGCTTCTATCTCTGGTGTCTTGCGTTTTGATGAGAAGAGGGTATTAAAGGGCATGGAAAGGAAAGGTGCTTTGTACAATATAGGTATGTCATCTCATGTTTTTCTTTAATCCTTGGGAAGATGGTCGCTTTGGCGTATAGTATAATATATAATATAGCCCTTAGTCTTTGACTGTCATATCTGTTTATCTATAATTATGCTATGATCACTTCTAATAGTTCCTTTTTGTGGTTCTCAGGTTCCAGTATTGCATCTAAAAGGGAAAATGAAATTAACCAAGATGTATGTGAGCTTCTCTTTCGGTTAAATTGCTGTTTTTGATAATGGAATATGTCTAATCTAGTTACTAATTTCTTATGCTTAAAGAAATTTTCCGCATCTGTTAACACTTTTATCCCATATGTTTTTTGCTTTTCCTAGTTTTGTTTGGCCCAATCAGGAATTTAGAACTTCGGTCGCAAGTTTATGTTATTGTTGTCCCCCATTTTTGCATATTTGAATAAAAAGCTGTTGTCCCCTATTTTCCTTTTGGAAGAGCCTGTATCTTTTTGTACCTCTGTAATACCTTATCAAGTTTGTCTCGCCCTTCTTTCCTTTTATGCATATGGAGAAGTTTGTGTCACCTTTCTTTCCTTTTATGCATATCAAGAAGTTTGTGTGGCCTTTCTTTCCTTTTATGCATATGAAGAAGTTTGTCTCGTGTCTTGTTTAGCATTTTACCTTCCCTCTCTTCTAGTCTAGATATAGGTCTTGGAAGATGAGTTGATGGACTTCCTGAAGGCATGAAAGTGTACGGGATATTGCCTCTTTTGGATGAAGTAATAAATTTTAGTGATAGTTGGGAAATACTCTATACAAGTGGTATACCATAAGTAAAGAACCTACAATAACAGACGGTTCCCTACAAATGACACCGACTCTTCATCTTTGCTGACAGGACCTCATGGTTCCACCAACGAGAAGGGACACGAGGCTATTCCTTAAGGGGTCGTTTGGTGTGAGGGATAAAAATAAATGGTCCCGGTATAAAATTTTGGTGTCTTGTTTGGTTGTCATTTTTGGGATAACTTGTCCCACCATTTATACCATAGTGATGGGATAAGTAAGTTATCCCATATACATGGTGGGATAAGTTATCTTGGGATAGTTAATCCCAGAATAATTGATTCTGGGATAACTTGTTCCCAGCCAAACGACCCCTACGTGTATAAAAGTACTTGCCCTTTAAAAGTGCTTCTACTTTTTTCTCTCGCTCCACACATGACACAACCCATATACGCGTGAGTGGAGCAACCTTCCACACCTTATGTCTCCTCATTTGCTTCCCACAGCACCAGCTGAACAACATCTTCCATTGTACCTTACAAAAAGAAACACATCTTTGTCTAATTGAAAGAAGTATGATAACTTGATAGTATAAAAAAGTATAGTCTAATGAATGAATATCCTGGTTCAGCTAAAGGAATATTTTGATTGAAATGTTGAGTACTATGGAGTGTCAGTAGTCTTGACTGTCAATTTGAGATGGACGCACTGTATGGCTCTTTTTTTGTCCCTAGGAGATTAAACACAGCTCCACCAATATGCTGCAGTTAGACATCAATGTTTTTTTCTTCAAAGTTCAAATTGCTTTGACATTCTGATGTATAACAAAGTTGCTTCGCAGATCTTGAGTAGATTTCTTTTTCTTTTGTCGTTGGAATCCGCAAGTTGTTTCCTATTGCTCTCTGAATCGTTTGGTTGTGGGAGTTCCTTTCCTGTGCATGTTGGCTGTTTCGAGGGGTGTTTTTTTGTTTTTCCTTCAATCATTACTATCTTTAGATCTTTGTCTTTGCTGAATTACCTGGTCACCGTGCCAGGTCCTTGATCTTAAGCGAAGTCAATTTGAAGCTGGAAAAATTCAAGCACAAAATGATCTTTCCCCTCCATGTGAAGATTATTTGTTAGGTAAACAGTTTTCGTAAGTTATGTTCTTATTATTAAGAAAAAATATTGTACATCAAGTAGAACTACAATTCTTTCTGGTCTTCTTGGAAACAGATATTGAATTTGCTGAAAGCATCACAAATCTGGATTATGGTTCAAGTAGAGGATTGCTGGACCCTATTTTAGAAAGTCAGATTCCATTATCTAGTTGTGATGGAACTGACACCTGTGGAATGCCATACTCTTCGGGATTAGTTGTGCAAGAATCTCAAAGTCAGAATGCTATGTTTGGCCTTACCAATTCAGAGTTGCATGACCTTTCTCGTGACAAATGTGAAAGTCAGATGCTAGTTGAGTACAATGCTGTGAAATTCCCTACTGCTTTCAATCCAGGAGATATCAGCAATGTGGATGATGTGGCAGGCTTCTTTGCTGAAGCTGCATCTTCTGAGAAGATGAATGACAGCATGATTGACCATTCTGCGCTAACATCTAACGGAATTTCTTTTATGTCTAATGCTACACAAAATGAGGGGCAAGATGTAAACTGTGAAAGCTTTGATATGCATGAATCCTCTGTAGTAAGCCCTCCAGTCACTTCTGAAGCAATAAACACTGACACTCCTGTCACTCAAAAGCGTCTGCGCAAGCCTACACGAAGGTATATTGATGAATCCTCAGATCTTAATGCTAAACGTCTTAAGAAAAGAGTAGAGGTTTCTACTAATGCACCAGAATCAAAGAATAAGCTTCTCAAAGTCAGATGTCAGAAGAAACCTCGTGCAGAATCTATGGAAATGGTATTGTTTTCTGAAGAGTCTTCTTATAAAGCTATTCAAGTGCCTTTTGCCTCTCTTGTGAATGAAGAATGTGATGATTGGGATGCATCTAATGCGACACAGGTACACTCCAAATTTTTTTTGAAACAAAATGTGTAATTTCATTTATGTGATCCTTGCACTGCATCCATGTATAAGCACATTGAAGGCTATGTTGCTCGGACTCTTCAAAAATGCCAACGGATGCGTGTCGGATTCGCCAAAAGTAGTGTATTTTTGGAGAATCCGAGACGGGTGCGGCATCAAAAGTGAAGAGTCCGCACAACTAAGATTAAAGGTGCCCTTACTAGGCTAGTTGTATAATTTCGGTCGTGCAAGTCAGTTCACAAATAACATTCAACCACCATCTTTGTTGACAATTTATTCAAAACTCAAAATGAATGAGAGTTGATGTAACACTGTGCTTGCTAGAAATTTTTGGGTGGTGAGTTCAGGTACTTTTTGAAAACAAAGGGTGATCTTCCATGTCAATTTGTTATTGAGCATATCGTGATACCCTCCATACTTCCCCGTATCTTTTTGCAACTTTTTAATCACGTTTTAATCTTCAGTTAGTATTTTCCTTGACATAAAAGTTGATCACCTTGAAGGTTTTCAAACCTCACAAGGAGGAGCCTCATAAGGAGGCTACTACAGTTGTGAATTATGAAGATGATGTTGTTGCACCAAAGAAGTTGGATCAAGATGGTGTGCGGAGGAAACATCACAGGCTCTGGACTGTTTCAGAGGTCAGAAAGTTGATTGATGGAGTTGCCCAATATGGAGTTGGAAGATGGAGTCATATAAAGAAGCTTTATTTCTCATCATCTGTTCATAGAACACCTGTGGATCTCAAGGTAAGCACCATGGCCACTATCAGGCATTCTTCAACCAGATGAGTCAAGAAAAACCATGCATCATCTAGTGTTTGCATGCTACTTACCTAAAGCTGGTACTCTGCTGCTAAAACGTCTTGCAGGATAAATGGAGGAATCTTCTTAAAGCAACTTACCTACAGAAACAAAGCAAAACAACGGTGAGTATTCATTTTTTAAATTTGATTAATGATGCTTGATGTTTGCTGTGAATCATGGGCCTTTTAAACTTGATGCAATAGTTTCTTTCTGTTCTGTCATAGAATTACTTTGTATGTATAGCCATCATATATTCTGAGGACATGACCCTAGATAAGAAGTTTTGGAGGCTTAGGAGATTAGGGGAGAAGGTTAGCCATGTGTTGTAGTACTTTTCCAAGGGAGAAGCAGGGAACTGGTCTCCTTCTCATCTTTTAGTATTTTTATCTGGTATTCACATAGTATCTTATTTTTCAGTTTTACTACTACAGCTTACTTCAATTGCTTTGTGTATCTTGCTATTTTGTTGTTATTTTCCTTTCTTTCTTAGAGGGTCTACCAGAAACAGCTTTTCTAGTCCACAGAGGTAGGGGTAAGGTCTGCGTACATTTTACCCTCCCCGGACCCTCCACTTGTGGGATTACATTGGGTATGTTGTTGTATAGCCATCATAATTATTTGTTTTGAAAATTTTTGTTTGTGTTTGTGCGCACAAGAGTCATAGTAATACTAAATTATGTTGGTGAAATCAGATTGTTGTATAGTGGAGTGTAATTGAGTATAATTTCCACCTAACTTATTTATTCATGTTTAGTTGCATTTTTGGTTTCAAGTAGCATGAGTCGAACTCATCAAAGTTAGTAGGAAGCTTAACGCTCAAGAATCTATGCCTATATGCTGATTTTGGTATATGTTGTTTAGTCCAGCCACTTCGTTTGATGGATAATATAGCGACGTGTAGTGTTTTGACGTTCTTCAAACTTTCCCCTTATTCCAGAGGGCTTACTTTTCTTATATGATATTTGACCGGATTATCATTGATACAGGAAAAGGGTAAACATAACCTGTCTTGGCGACCTTTGCCAAAGTCTGTCCTGCATCGAGTCAGTGAACTGGCCAACATGCATCCATATCCAAGAAACCGGAGGTGCAAGAGTTCCCGTTCTCCATGTGCCTCATCTTCTCCTGAACATTCTAACAGTACTAACATCCCGTGACGACCCCAACTGTCCATCCGGAGATTCGTTGAGATTTCTTTTGTGAAATTCCTCTCCTATGCATAGTTACAGGAGTAACATCTGGTGATAACCCGATTTTACGTTCAAATATTGGTTTTGAGCTCTCTTATACCAACTCGCTGCATAGTTTGTGTATAGAGCAGCTTCATTTCAAGTGAAAAAAGGTTCTGTATAATTTTCATTACCTCTAGAAATGCAATTGTCACATCTGTAAACTTTTTTTGTATTTCCAATTGATACAAGTGACTATGTTTCAGCATTTTGTGTATAAGGTAGTATATAAAATAGTTTGTGACATCGCGCTGATTCCTCATTTACTGCTTCAAAATTTTGTGGAAAAATTGGGAACATAAGGAAATTGATTGGTGGCACATCTTTGCTCAGTATTCCACATTAAAGTACCAATTTGGAAATGGAAAGTTGGATTGGAAGGGCTGTATCATATCGAGATGTCGATTCGTTTTTCGTGCCCTAATGAGATGGAAAATTTGTTAACCCTATTTAGACTTTTGGTTGATTGATTTAGTTTTAAAGGAAAAGAAAAAAAAGTGATCTCTATGTGACATATAACTAAAGAACCTACAAGTTTGTGTTCTATTTACAAATTTCTTGTGTTATCTTCTACTGATAACAATAGCATACCCAATGTAATCTTCACAACTAGAGCGGAAGAGAATAACGTATACACAAATTTTATTCCTATTTTGTAAAGGTAGAGACTTATTTTTTACTGATGTCGTGTGAAAAAAGTCAATTTTGTATGAGGGCAGGTAAATTAAAGGAGTAAAACACTTCTTATTAGGATTCACAAATTTACATTGAGTTGGTACATTAAGGGATAAAGCGCTTCATATGAAAAGTTTCTCCCTTCGCGTTTAATATACCATAGACGGAAGGTAGTTACACTCATATAGAAGATGGAAAGACAAACACACACACATACATAGTTTCTAATACATATAACATCATTCATATATAGTTGCAAGACATACAAAGTTCAACCTCTTCCGTTATCACTATTATCACCAGCACCAGCACCAGCACCAGTTGCTGCTCCACTAGAAGAGTTGTCTCCTCTCTGACTGTAATATTCTCTTGGTATGTTATGATGATTATCTACATCGCGATCGGGGTACATATACTTTTTCCCTACACCAAATCCCACTCCATTGTCCATTATATGTTCTTCATGTCCCCTTCCTCCCATCAAGGCTTTTCTAGGATATGCCTCTCCCAAGCAAGAACAATACATGACTATAATCAACATAAACACTAAGAATTTCCTCATGTTGAAACAAAATAACTTCATATATTAGTCTAAGATAATATGGCACAACTCCCAAAAAGGATTAAGGAAAGAAAATATTGCTTGAGAGTTTGTGTTATGGAAGTTAACTCTAGAAATTTATGTTTCTAAATTTAGGTTATATAAAGATTTTTTTTGTTAATCAGTTAGGTCATATAAATGATATGTGTTGGTTTTTATGGGGTCTCCACCATAAAAGAAGATCATAAGTGGGTTTTAAGATATATATACTCGTCAGTGTAAGAAATTTTTATATAATCAGGTCATATTTTATGTTTATATATTATAACAGGTGATCTGTTTTATTTTTAAACATGTTAAGCAAGTTTATTTGTAGATATTCCTTGAGTGAGTTCGTAAAATGTAATTTATTTTTTACACTGACGGTGTATATATTTTTAAAATATATTTTTTCTACAAAATGAAGCAGCCTAAATAGGGAAAACCCACATAAGGAAGTGGAATTGGTGGACTTTAGTGAAGTCAACAGAAGCATCATTAATTTCCATTATTAGTTGCCTTTCACTATTATTATGATTTATGATTAACCTATAATTATGAGCAAAGTCCGGTTCGACTATATAAATTTTCATTATTTTTTCATTTAAGCTTTAATTTTTATTATGAGTTGATCATTGTTACTGTCAAGATAACCTCTCGTATCTTTTATCTGAATTTGAGAGATGAGATCGATAATGTGAACAAGTTTACGCGAAAGGGGTACTTACTATTTAAGTATAAGGTGAGTAGAGTAAATTTATGCGCCACTGCCTATGGAAAATGATAAATTGCTTTATTTTGGCCTAACCCAAATTTATAGAAAAAAATACTTTTTTTTTTGTAGTTGAAGAAATGTGGTGGATTACATTATCTACAGTTTTTTGCACTTAAATGCACACAGAGACACATATTTATAATTTTTTATAATATATACATAGTATGGGTAAAAAAATAGATTCAAGATTTAAACTTTAGAAATTCAAGGTTCCACGACTATGATTTCAAATACTAATAACTAAGTTAGATATTAATATATATGCACATTAAATAAATTTCTTAATATATTTAAAATTTGATCGAACTCATAACTTATACTATAAATCCGCCCCTCATGAACACAATCAAATGTTAACATATTAGATTGAACCAATTACTGAACGTAAGCAAACTTGGTGGAAACATATCCCACCAGCTACAGAACTTTTACCCACCAACTTAAGAGTAACTTTAGAGTTCGGCGTTAAAACAAACATTTTTGTAAAGCCAATAAATTAAAATGAGTTGTCAAGAAATCTTATATCGAAAGAGATTGTTCATACCATATTGTGTGAACTGTCAATAAATTCAATGGATGTTCCTTTTACTACATTTTTTAAAAAAAAAAATTAAGCTCGCCACAAATATTGAACGGATAGACTCTATTTTTCTCTTCAGTTCATTATTCTTTAATTTTCTTAAGGGATGTGTAAAAGAGAAACACGATAAATAATTTGAAAATGGATAACTTTCCTGATAGAGAAGAGAAATGACAAGAAAGTCTCGTTGAAAGAAAAAACTCAGAGCATGACGACTAAGACTAAACTCTGGTTACGCCGAAAATATGGAATGATTTTTCATTATTTATTAGAGCATGCACACGAATGGATTGTCATGATAAAATGAAGTGTTTGGTGAGGAAAATGATTGAATAAAAATGCAACAAAATCCTTTGAATCTCTACTGATTTTCTTGAGAACATGGATTGTCTCTTGGATCACATTGAGGGCTCTTGGGAAAAAGAAAAAAAAGAATGGGCACCTTACATTTTATTTTATTTTTATAATAAAGTTAATAACTATTATTTTTTGTGGTATCGAATTATCGATTGTACAAATAGGTGAAGAGGTCTGTAGACTAAAACAATCAATTTCGTGGAGAAAATGCAAACTCGTTGAAAATGTTTACGATCGATCGTCTCAAATTATATCTTAAATTAACATGGAACATGTTAAGCTGAGTTTTCTTCTATTGTTTAAATAAAAGATTTTATAAAACAAGAACGATAAAAAATCATAGAAAAAATTACAAAAGAAGAAAAAGAAAGTGTCTCATTTGTCATAATAAAAAAAATAAGATTAAAATATTTGAATCACAAAAAAAATTAAAAAAAAATTAAAAAAGAGAAATACTCGATTTTCCTCGACAAGAAAGATTCAACGAAGATGTGCTAATGGAGTTACTTGTTTTTAATCTAGAAATTAATTATAATACTAACTAAATTTAGATTAAGATCATGCTTCAATTAATTACAACATCAGCAAAGTTGCTATTTTATTTTAATAAGAGAGTTGAGGGAGCGATAGTGCATTCTCAAAATATTAATTTAATACAATTAATAAAATATCGCAATATAGCTATAATTTTGTGTGTGAAATTCATCACGGCTTATAAAGACATTAATTAAAACCATAGCATTATAAGTTACGAGTTTAATTAAATTCAATAATTTTAATTTTTTATATCTATTAAAAAATATATAAATAACTTAAGATCATGCTTCAATTAATTACAACATTAGCAAAGTTGCTATTTTAATAAGAGAGTTGAGGGAGCGATAATGCGTTCTCGAAATATTGATTTAATACAATTAGTAAAAAATTGCAATATCGCTATAATTTTGTGTGTGAAATTTATCACGGCTTATAAAGACATTAATTAAAACCATAACATTATAAGTTACGAGTTCAATCAAATTTAATAATTTTAATTTTTTTATATCTATTAAAAATATATAAATAACTTAAATCATGTGGTAATTTTTGGTGAATTATTTTGTAGTTAAAAAATTACACGGGGAATAGAAGTGCACGGGTCCAATCAAATCATTGTTCGAAATTAAATGTAATCTCTGTCTGAGTTGGCCGGTGGTATTTGTTTTGCATTTTATAATACTCCCTCTGTTTTATGTGAGGTAGTTTGATTCGACACGGAGTTTAAGAAAGAAAGGAAGATTTTTAAAACTTGTGGTCCAAAATGAATGATAGAAATTTGTATAGATGTAAAACATTTTATTAAGGGTAAAATATACATTTTATAGTTAAATTATTACTTAATATAGAAATGTGTTATTTTTTTTTTGGACTAACTAAAAAGAAAAATAAGTCACATAATTGGAACAGAGGGAGTAGATATTTAGCCGGTCAACTAAAAATAATTATATATCTTGTAAATTATACAAAAATAAATAAATATATTTATCGATTATTATTTTGATGAACGAATATACTGCTTCCGTAAAAATCTCTTTATCATATAACGATGAAGTGTTGCCCAACATGCTTGTTTGCTCCCTCTACCCCGTGGGCTTTTGGTGGTAGGCCCAATTCTTCATGTGCTCTTCATTACTCTTTCATCAATGCTCAACCCCACCCCCTACCCCACCATATCTTTTTTTTTCTCCATAATATTGATATTTGAAATTCACTGATTTGATTAGTGTTGATACGTGTCATACAATAAGAATTTCTTTTTATTAGAAGTTTGTTCGTTTTTAAGAGTTATACTCGACACTTTTAATTAAGAATAAATGAAGCTTATTTATCGCACCACATCGATCGATAGTCTGTGTTCCTTGTATAGGCTATAGGCTACTCTTTCATTTTTGTTTTATAGCTTCTTTTTCTTTTTCCTTCATGAATTGACTGATTACATAAAAACGTAATCCAATATCACTTAGTGCTAAAGAAAATCTTGAGGCAAATTCAGGATTCAAGTTAACTTGTGCGATATATTGCAATTTTTTTTTTTGATAATGAATATTGACTTAGAATAAATAAATATTTTCCAAAAAAAAAAAAAAACTAATTGTAAGTAGTGGGTGTGGTGGCTATACTAGATTTTCAAGGTGTATATTCAATCCTTTTTTAACTAAAGAACATCAAAAAATTATTTTAGCAATTTAGGTCACTTTATATAGGTGTCTTTTGCTTAATTATTAAAAATTATTGTGACTCGTTGAATATGTTAGTACACTTAATTCACTTTTAAGAAATCTATGTCCTGAACTCGGTCCTAAAGGGGAGGGAAGGTCTTTTGGAGACATGATGGGAGTTGCCGGTGTATTGGGCGCTGCTTTGCTATGCACCATTCATGGTGCTACCGTAGAAAAGACAAAAAGGAAAATCCTTTTGATTAGCCAATTTCCAAGAGGGAGAAGGTCTTATGGCAATCACAAGGATTTTTTTATTAATAAATATTTACTATAACAATTTTTCTCTCTCTAAATATTTATATAATTAATTAAACCTAGATTTTGACTTTTTATTTTTAGTGCCCTTGCTTGGAAACTTCCTGAATATAATATAACCACCAAAGGTTTCCTTGATTAAGACACCATATTGTTGTGGTATGTTCCAAAATATCCATGCCTGTAGGTAGCAAGGCACATATGATGCTATTATAATATATATATATTATACATATGAAAAAAAGTATATGATCATATATTTTTAGTAATATGTGACCAAATATTCTTTTACCTTTTAATAATGTTTTGTGTGTAGAGATCCCTCTTCTCCTTGTCCTATATTTTGTTCTTCTTGTTTAAGTTAGTTTATATGGACCTCAATTTTATATTAATTTCTTAGCAATGTCTATATAAAGATAATTTTATTTATCAAAATTAGGTAGATGATAAGAAATTAAATTGCATTTCTTGACTTGTTGACACTTCAATTATAATCTCTTGTGATTTTTGTCAACAACTTTATTAGACACTTAGCTACGAGTGATGATATTACTTTCTTTGTTCCAATATACTTTTCTTATAGAAAATGTTACTTTTCTTATACTTAAAAATAATTTTCAACATATCCCAAATTGTTTGAGATGATTAATGATTTATAAGAGGTCCATTTCATGATTGGATAGTTAGATATTCATTTTACAAATGATTGATTAATTTGCAACTGAATATTTCTTCTTGTGTGGTCAGCGTTCACGTGTCCATGAATTAATTAACACTTTGAGATGCACAATGTACTTACTTTGTCTTTAGAGGATGAATCCACTCTGGCTACTGCAACTATATCAACATCAAATTTATGAACAAACACCAAAAATCATTGGAGATGGGTTTTCTCTCACTCTCACACCTCAAAATTTCTCAAGGTTGAGAAAGAAATAACCACACGAAAAAGGGTCTCTTAAGTCGAGGGTCTGTTAATAACAACTCACATGACTAAGTATGTCGTTGTTATTGCAAGTGTGGTCGGGGTTGGATAATCTCTTACTCTATTTTCTAGGCTAACATATAAGCTTAATTTAGCTTGATAACGTAAAAATTCTTTAATCATGGCAAACAAAAGACTAGAGAATAAAGGAAGTTAGAATAAGCAGATACATCCCCTCGAAATCACTGCAAATATACTGCAACCTGCAAATGTCCAGTATTTTTATATTTCTCCACATCATGCATCATCAGATACAAAAGTTCCTCAAAATACTATAGTCTATACATGCAATATATTAAAATTTGGAATATTTAATGTCAGAGAAAGTTATGTGGCTACATAAGGATTACCTCTGCTCTGTACGGCAGTGCTCTCTTTTCAAGATGATAATTTGAGCAAACAAAAACAAAAACTGCGTCTTCATAAATAAATGGAACTTTGGTTTATTCTTTTCTATACTTGTATTTAATGAACAAATTATTGCTAATTGAATGATACACACCACAAATGAAGTTCATCATTGTTATAAGCCACTATTATACAGTGGTGAAGTTAAAAATTTCGATAAGGGTGTTCAAGAATACTTTAAAAAGTAACATTTGACCTATAGTTTTCATCGAAGAGTGTTCAACTAACTACCCTTCGACATACGTAGCTTCACCCCTGACTATTAACCCCATTTCTTCCTGATTTCTTGATCATTCAAAGTTTAACAGAAACATGATTCAAATATCCACAACTTATTTCTTATCTAATAAGATGGAGAAGAAGAACAAGTGGGAAATGGCCATAGCACTGTGTCCAAGAAGCTTAATCCCAATTCATCTTTCCTATCTTATCTACTCAATTCACCATTGTGGGGTCTAAATATTCAAGAGTTCAACAGATTATTTATCTGGCATAACTCCCCACCCTGGGACATAACAAAGAAAGAGAGAGTGATAATACAGATTTTTGTGGCACAATCTGTACATGTATATTGACTTCTAAATTATGCAATGTATGTTCGTACATGATCGTATAAGGATGAATTATCATTAAAGAAAGAAACAGCTATGCACACGCATTAGTCACACTTATAGTTTGCCAGTTGCCAGCATTTAATTTTTAATAAAATATTGGAACTTCCCAAACTATTATATATATATATATATATATATACCTGTCTCAGTCTCTCAGACAACACCACTGTACTCTCTCTTCTCCCTTCAGTTTTTATCATAGTGGTCCAATTCCTGCATATGAAAATGATGGACAGCAAGTTTCTGAAGGCATGGCAAAAGATGGGTGGCAAAGTCATACCTTCATCAGCTTGCTGCGATAAATGCTGCAAATGGACTATGTGGCCTTTTGAAAAAGAAGAGAAGTCTATCCCAAGGGATGTTCCGAAAGGTCATGTGGTAGTTTATGTAGGGAAGTACCAGAAGAGATTTGTAATCAAAATTACCTTGCTAAAGCATCCACTCTTCAAGGCATTGCTGGATCAAGCTCAAGAAGTTTATGAATTCACTGCTGATTCGAAATTATGGATCCCCTGTGATGAGAACATCTTCAATAGTGTCATTAGATGTGCTACATTACCAGAAAGTCGACGTATCTCAATCTGCTTTTGAAGGTCCAAAATCACAAAGCATGTAATTGTAATTCATCTATGATGCTTAACTCATTGTTTAGAATGTTGACATCTATAAATTCATAACCTGTTGTATACTATTGAATATAAATTCATTACCATTACCTACGAAGTTGAGCATTACTTCTTTATGCAAGAAATCACAATTCATTTTATTTTATCATTTAATAGATTGCAACAACTACAAGTATCTAATAACAATCTGCAGAGCAAGAAGGCACAAAGCCTTTATACGCCACATCCCAAATCAGTCGAGCACTGACAACCAACAATTTGGCATTGAGATAAACTGCACTGAAGTTAGTAGACCAAAATGGACGTCGAACTGTCACATTCTCAGAACACAGATTTGTAAAGCAACTTAAGATGTATTACTTTATCAGAGTTCCAGGTAGAGAAAACAGGCATAAACATTTATGGCAAGAGAGGAAGCATCCATCCATTTGAAAAAGGGCAACAGAAAAAAACAAGTAACACAGCCGAAAGTTGAATAAAGCATCAGACATACAGCCCAACGGCTCCACAGAGATATTAATCAACAGGACAATAATGTAGCAAGGAGTACCTCCAAGATAGAGGAGGTTAAACAGTCTCAATGTTGTACCAGATCCAAGACCTTGACAGTGCCACGATAAGACTCTTTCTTCTTACATTGTGTTAACCAAATAAAGAGTAGATGTTGAATCATGTAAACCTGCAAATCTAAAAGCTTAAATCACTAGAAATTGGACACATCTATTTTTTTTTAAAGCGAAACACAGCATCGTACATGAAGACATAATCTTTTTTGGTAAGGTAAAGGTTTATTGACCAAGTACCAAGAAGGTACCAAAACCAAAAGTTACAAAGCACTGCTGGGAATATCCATACAGTCAATTACAACATCTCCTTAGCAACTCCAATAGCTCCATATATTGATCTATATTATCAATGAAACTACTTTTACACCAAGAAAACAAATTATGTAAACAATTGTTTTTAACTTTAGAAATATGGTCTTTTTGCCCATCAGAACAAGCGTTATTTCTTTCTAGCCAAATAGTTCGAATATGCGCAAAGGTCTGTGATCCAAATTTGCTTCAAAACTTTATGCGTTCTCTGCGCTGCCAACTCTCCAATATTTCGTTCAGAATTTGAAGCATGATCCAAGAGATCCCGCAAATACTGAAGAAAAATTCCCAACATTGTCGAGCTATTCTGCAATGCATAAGAACCAAAGCTTTGTTATTAGGCCAAACACGTGAAAAGTTTTGTTGGTTTACAAACCAAAACTTACATCAACACTAATACATATTGAAACATGCTGAACTGTGTGAACAATTTTAGAGACAGGACACCTTTATTTATTTATTTTAGCTGCAAGAGTAAGCACCCAAAGCAATCCATTTCAAATGAAAATGAAGATTTTTGAAAAGAGAACTAATCAATTCTCTGTTCTGGTAGTAAGCAGAGTTGAAAGTTGAATGTTCCTTTTCTAATGACAGACCTACATCTAACTAAATATTTTGGCTTTACTCTTAGCTATCAACTTGCAATCAATAATGCACTAAAGTATATTAGGGCAAGTAACGAAGCGGCTATTTATCATGACACACTAAAGTAAAGAGGGTAAAGTTGTGTAAATGGAACCAAAAGATACAGAAAGAACTTGTATGAGAAAAAGTTTTCACTAACTTCAAAAGTGAACTGGCAGAATGTTTCTTTATCACTCATCCAATTCCCCCCTTTATTACTTTTCCAGGAAAAATATATACTAGAAGAGTTCTATAGGACCAAATCAGAAACTATTCCAGAAACTAAGAATGGCTTTACATTCATTATTATATTCTCCACACCATCTAGTTATACCTACTTCCCCATTAGGTGCTTTATGAAAAGTTTGACATATTTATGGAAATATATTTTTTCCCTCCAACAGTTCAAACTATTATTATTTCCAAATACCAACTTGAAGTGACATCTTTTCAACAAATTCAACTATTTAAAAATCCAAATCATTATAATCTATAAATACTCTACTCGATATATTGAAGAATTAACCTAAATAACCAAGAGTCTTTCGGAAACAACCTCCCTGTCTTCACGAGGCAGGGGGGTAAGGTCTACATACACACCACCCTACCCAGACCCCACTTGTGGTATTACATGGGTATGTTGTTGTAATCTAAATAACCGCACACCCAACCACTTGAACTAAAAATAGCCAACAGATATACAAATATACGTATAATATATATATATATATATATATATATAGAGAGAGAGAGAGAGAGAGTGACTCTTTGTCCCAATTTATGTGGCACTTTTTGTTTTTTCGAGAGTCAAACAGTTTACGTTTGACCAGGAATTCGTGCACGGAATCTTCAAAAAATTTTAAATGAAATTTATATATTTGTAAACTACGTAAAAAGTATTATAAGTCACAATAATTGATAATTCAAAATGTTTAAAAGATCTATGAAAAACTTACGGTCAAAGATAGACTTGTTTGAATCTCGAAATCCGAAAAGTGCCACATAAAATGGGATGGAGGGAGTATATAATATGTGAATAATTGTGTATAATCTATTTATACTGTCTAGAAAATGTAATCAGTGAATCCGGCCGGCTATTTGTGTAAAGATCCCGTCTTTTAAGAGGCTCTAACTTGTATTGGGAATGAAGGGGCTAGGTTAGGGTGCTACACAGCCTACATACTAGTGAAGCTTCAAAAAATAAGATAACTTGCATAATCCAACAGAAGGTGGATGAGATTAGCAAGAAAATGAAATGCAAGATGACATTTTTTTTTACCTAAAGGAGTTCAAATATAAACAAGTCCAAATGTAACATGATGAGCTAAATTCAATTAATCAATACTGAGCAAAAAATAAAGAACCATCAAACAAAATCATCCATTTCCCAAATCCCTATAAATGAATAACTAGATTCCACAGAAACAAATGAAAAAGATACAAACCTATGGGTGAAAGCATGAAAAATACCAAAAGGGTGAAACAAGTTACTGCAGTTGCAAATACTCAAGGCAAATTGCGGAAGACCAGCTTTTGTAGGACCTTTCCATATTTAAATGCTGAAAACATAATTAAATAAATAGAAGTGTGCTCTATCTAGCAATTTAAGCTTTTAGATGAGACGGTCACTGGTCACATTGCTCCAACAAATATCTTCAGGAGAAGGAGCTTAAATAGTTAAATGAACTGTGGTGCCTACATCCTACGCGTTTACACTGATTCAAAATTCTGAAGAAGGAAATATACAAGAAGCTATTAACAAATGAAAGAGACATGCTCTAAGTTGCAAGTCGCTTGATCCTAGAGTTGAAATTACTGATTAAGTGAATGGTGGATGCAAACTTTTGTTATATGCATGTATGAATGGAAGATGACTGCCAAAACTATCCACAATCATATGAATGAAGGGGAAAAAACTCAGCTCAACAAAGTAGACTAAGCCATTGGATAAAACAGGCAGTGCCTGCCAGAAGGCAATCCACAAAAAAACATCCATTCAGAACTTAGGGTGGAGGCACAAGTAGTCAAAATAGCCAACTCTGTAAATTTGAAAGTACATTACCTCCTTCTGAAGTGTTGAAACAAAGATAAATACCAAGAACAAGGAACTTAGTGAAGTTGACAATATGGTTGGATAATCCCTGAAAGATGAGTAAGAGGTTAACACTAGAGATACAGAACAAGTTTGGGCAACCTATGAACCTTGAGCATGAAGATATTCTGAAGCAGTAGATCAGAGAGACGAGCCATAACAGATATAATCATACATAGAAACCAAGAAGGATGTCACAAACATAGAAGATACATAAGATGTGGTAATTTGATGAAATAACAGTTGGTAAGAAAGTGATAATCAGGATAGGGGGGGGGGGGGGGGGGGGGGTAATTGAATTCTATTCTATCCCACTGGTCTTTGTAACCAACACCTATGTTGCTCGGACTCTTCAAACATGTCGACTGGTGCGTGTCGGGTTCTCCAAAACTAGTGTATTTTTGAAGAACCCGAGATGGGTGCGGCATAATTTTTGAAAGAATCCGAGCACCATAGACCAACACCATGGTATTTCAGGAAGTGCACCATCTTCAAGACTACCAGAAGTTTCATAGAGTGAAGTTGATCAGATTGGTGACCTGTAGCTTCTTCCTTTTTTCTTCTAATATTAATTTTAATTCTTAACTTGCTGCTGATTTAGGTGCTTCCTCACCAAACATGTCACTTAGCTGGCTGAGTCATACCTTGAAGGTCTTGTAAAATGTTGTCATTCTAAGATCAATTCTTTCTATTGCAACCAATTTGATGGTGCAACTATCAAGAAAGGAACGGATGAGAAAAGGAAGATACATCTATGAAGAAGAGACAGGATGAAGTAAAGGATATGCGGGAGAAAGTTAAAAAAAATAACATACCCTGTTTCACTGACCTAACTGAGCAGGAACAAACGAGCTTATTTGTGTAGTGAAAAAGATTGCTAGATGTAGACAAGTAAACTAACAATCCAACCACCGAGACCACAGAATAATCGAGTTCAAAAGCAAGGAAAGGGCACTAAAGAGAGAAATCACTTCAGTTGAATTCTACATAACAGTATTAAAGCACCCCCAGAACTATAACTTCCTACAGAGTGCAAATTTTATTTAAGTCAACTACACTTTAAAATCAGCAAATTGGGGGAAATACAATCCTAAAAATTAGTCTTCCCACAAACTGATAAACTCCATTCACCAATATCAACAAACAAAAGGTATCAGGATAAAAGAAATATTCAACTCCTTCATCTGATGTGATACAAATGAAAACAAGCAAATCAAACATTCCGTTCCACCTAACAAGCTCGAGCAAATCTGCAAATCACAAACTCATTCTAGGTTACAGAATAGAGATGCACAATATATGAAACCCACCCACTTACCCACACACCAACTTATAAATCAAATATACAACTGCTTAAGAGTATTACGAAGAAGTAGTCGGGCAAATCGACATTCAGAAATTGAGCATTAGCCCAACTATTGAAGCTGTTCATCAACAGTTTCCAAGACAAATTTTGAACTACTGAACAGTTCAATGAATGCTTAGCTATTCCTTTACTGTCTGGAGATCCAGCTGCACAAAAGAATATTGAGCAAAGAAAACTGTTTAATTTCTTCATCCTGAGGGCTTTATAGATAACGTTTGGTCCCTGAAAAGGAGAGACACTGTCAACACGACCAATTAAGAAAAAAAAAAAAAAAACTCAACCGAGAAGCTCTAGAAAACTAAATCAGCTTACATGGCTGCAAGTTAACCGACTTCATTAAAGGGATCAGAAGTGGTTACCAATACATAAGAAATTCATCATCTAGGTAACATCAGTTTGATCCCTACATTTACCTTTCAAAATATATGAGCGCGACAAATTCAGATCTCAGCCTTTTAAATAACCAAATATCCATTTGAAGCAAGAGCATTCTGCATGTAGGAACTTCTTAATGGAATGAACTCAAAATAGAAACTACATGCTGTTGAAGTACTGAAGTTACTAATCCTTATGAAAAGTACTGAAGTTACTAATAGCCTCGGAACTTAGATGAGGAAAACTTAACAAGTATCATATATTCATCAAAAACAGAACTTGTTCAGTAATTTGATGATCTCATAGAGCAGACATCCAAATATTAAATTTTGCATGTGCCCGCTTATCTTGTATTCATATATACATGACACAACAGTCTAAACCCTGTCATTTGTACAATTTCTGGCATTTGCTCCTAACCATATGTAAACGTACTTTTTTTAATCTCTGTCACATACGCTGTGATGATATACTGAAGACCAGTCCTTACATCCCCATCCCTTCATTTGACTACTACAACCTGCCACTGACATTACGATCCAAAAGCACCAGAAAATTATTCAACAATTGATTCCTTCATAAAAGTATTCTACAGATAATGTTCTATGCAATTATACTTCACGCAAAGCCACAATTGTGGCAAGGATATAAAAACCTCAACATTTCTGATGCCAAAAGCTATAGGGTATGATGTATCATGGTACTGAGTGAACAAAATCTGAAGTATTAGAGTAGGAAATATAACCGCGACAGAAGTGACTCCATCAATAGAACTAGAATTATTAATGAAATACTCAAAAACTAGCTTTTTATGGTGGTTACTGAAGACAATGGATCTCCTGAGATGCTGGAATGGCCTAATTGAAGGTGTTACGCAAAAGAACTGGTGGAAAGTCATCTCTGCATGCATTTGAGGGACAGTTTGGGAAGAAAAGAATTCTAGGTATTTTGAGGATACAAAGAACGCTACACAGAGAATCAAATTAAATTGTATATTGTCTTTTCTTTTTCTTGGAGTGAAGGATGTTCTGTAAATGATAATGAATCCATACTTGATGTCATAGCATCCCTGTACGTTTTTGTTTAGTCAGGGGGGGATGCTTATGTTTTTTGCTCAGTTGTTTGGAGTTTGTATCTTGTTTTTACACCCATCAGCACCTTTTTGTGTTTAAATGAAAAGTTACCATTCTCAAAAAAATGGTGGTGGCGCAGAGCCAACTGCACCTCGAACCTGTTCCTGAGACTCGTGGTTCTCTTCCACTTCATTGACCACTATATCACACCCTTGGGTGAAAACTAGATATTTCTCAAACAGCTACGTACTTTCTCAAACATCAACTTCTTTATCTCTTAAATATCATTCTATTCCTCAGTTTATCTCAAATTATCACAAGAATGTGGCAATGGAACAATAGGAAACGTAAGCAAGGAATACTTGAAATTCCTATGACATTTGAGGGTATGTTCATTTCAAGGTACTGTGTTACAATACAGGAAATCTTCCAAATGCTGACCCACTTACATTCAACTAAATGCGGGAGTTTCTTTTTAACAAGTCAAAATAACTTCATTGATGATACACCAAGTGGATGTCACAACATATTGTGGGTTTACATCAAAGCTCCAAAAAGAACCATCCATCTATCTATACAATATATGGGGAATCCCTTCCACAACAAATGAGCTTTTCTAGGATGATTGATAAATCCCCAAGAACCAGTGGTGCAAGGTTGGAAACTCGGTGGATAATGGGTCTGCCCCTCTACCCTTCTCTTCACTTAAATACCAGCCTTTTGTCTGCGGCAAGTTCATACCCCTGACGTGTGCCTAACCCACACATCACAAGTAACGCTCTTACCACTAGACCAAAGCCCTGGGGACTTCCACAATAAATGAGCTTTTGATTATCTGTATTGGATGCTTGACCCCAATACATCTTCTACAATATTCATTTAATCCAAATCATCTAATAATTGCACGGAGGAGCGACGTTCCACAACTCCGTTTGCCTAGCACCTAGGCCATAATGAACTTAGAGTGCCTCCATTGCTGATGGAGAAGCTGCAATGGAACCAGTATATGGTCCATTTTCTGACCATTTTCCTTGGATAATAACTCTAGCTAACTACTATAGGTCTTCTACTTCTCAAGTTTATCGTCTTTATAATAACACTCCAAGTTGCACACTGCGTGAAAAAATCCAGCTTTATTAGGTGCCTCCATCTTCCACAGGGACCTCCACATGGCCTGAAGTCACTGACCATGATCAAGTAATCATAATATGACTTCATCGAGAACATCTTCATAGACAATCCTCTCTACAACACTTCTCTTTTCTATTTCAAAGATATAATTAAGCAAATAAAAGGCATGAAATCTCTTATAACTTAAAATTCAGATAAGATGGTTATACAATGTTACCAGTCTCAAACAATTGTTCGGTGAACCATGCTTACGGAAAAAGCTATAGGATCTTTGAAAAGCCACGATGACTACCACAACAGTTTCCCTCTTTCAGGCTTTCAGCAGTTTTGAGAGCTCACTGCCCAGCAAAGTAGATTAAAAAAGGCTTCAAGAGCTACGATGAATCCTTTCTAAGAATCCCGCCATTGGCTGCCATGCAAGCTTGTCAGAGTACAATGTTACCAAAAGCAAAAGTCGAGTAAAGACGCTAAAATATGTTGGGTAACACATTAAGATATGCAGGGGCTTTAACTGCAGAACCCTGACAAATATTTGATGAAGAAAGGCTCACATGAAAAAGAAAATAGAAGTGCATATGTAAATCAAGAATAATAACTACAAACATGAACAACAATTATGAATAAAGAATTGAAAAAATTATAATCAAGCACAATATTTATTGTTATGTCCTTCAATATAGAACTCATGGGTGAGAATAAGCATGCCTTACCATTCTTGAGCAACCAGCCAAGAAAAGCATAATACTTGTTGAGGAACATTGTTTTTCCACATCTGTCTCCAAGACCAAGAGGGATCTGATCAGTCCCTTCTATTAGTAATAAGTTGTAGCAAATTTGACAGTGAAAATACCTTTGTTTTTTTGCTCTCCAGGTTACCTTGCCACTTTCATCATCTGATACACCTTAAAATGTCTCCAAATTCAAAATTTCTAACATCCTTACCATTTCTCAGTCATTTAAATTCTTTCTGAGCACCACATTCCAGCCACCTGTTTCCCTACATTGAACACTAAGCACCCATCTCTTCTAAGAAGCTCAGCTACTGTGACCTTATTTATTGATCATCGTAATATGGTGCAAGTCAGGAAACTACTCTGTCAGAGATGGGTCCCCACACAATACATCCTACCAGAAATCGGACTCTTTACCTGACTCTAAAGACTATATGTACGAAGGAATACAAACTTTGATACGTGAATTACCAGAACTACCTAGTTTTTTAAGAGATAAAAGTGTTAATATCCAATTTCAGTTTGTTGACACTTTATTGGTCCTTTAAAGAGGCCAAGCGTTGTTGTTTTCTGTAACTAAGCAAACAAGGGGATGAGAAAGAAAAAAAAAGTGGAACCAGCTAGCCAGAAAATGAAAAAGGAACAATATCAGTACTTCTCGAGCAAACATGAGATTTTCTTTAGCATTTACTCAATCATCTAAGCACTAATTCTTCAATTATTAAGTTCTTCAATAATTACAAGGTAAAGAAGCACTTCAAATCCGTAAATACTTTAAGCAACAAATGTCCCACGTTCAAACATTAATCAAAAGAAAGTTCAAACCCACCAATTTGAAGTTTAGTTTGATCTTTTTTGTGTAGGGGAGTGGAAAGGTTTAGTTCAAGATGACCATTTATCATTATACAAATCAACTTACTTAGAAACATCAGAATCTACAACAGAAACGTGATCAAAAGAAAAAAGAGGAGGGCTCACTTAATCTCTTACCCTTAATGGTAAAAGGAAAAATACAACAATTACAACTAGTTTTCAGGTTTCATCACCATGAAAGACTTGTATGGTAAAGCATATACCCCGAAATGGATATGGAATAGCCAACAAGAATTCCCATGAAATATACAAGTCATATATTGCCTCAACAGAGTACATACAAAGCATAGCTGGAGACTTCTTAAACAGTGTCGTGCTGACTCACATTTCGAAGCATTGAACATCAAAAGCACAAAAGATTACCCCACCAGCGCGATAGTTCATCCAGTTAAAGCTTCTTTCAACGTAATGCCAAGGCAGGGGAATGAATCTTTAGCACTTCCCACCTAGTATCATCTAACGCCCTCGAGAAAGCCTTCCAATTCTCTTCGTCCAAATGTCCTCCCAACTGAGGAGGCATCATTATACCTTGCGGCCAAGTAAAATGTTAACCAAACTACCATAAAATAAACTTCCATAACACACTGAAATGCCAGTGCAAACACTTCTCCAAATATTCGACCCCAATATCCATCTTGTACACCACCCACAAACCAAAACTTCCCAACATTTGATTCCTATAGCAGGACACACCATAATACCCAACAAATGACATCCTTCTTTGACAACCTCCCTACCACTTTTCCTCGAGTCCACAATAGAAACCCAAGAATCAACAGCAAAAATAAACCCCACTACCAAGTCCACCAAGAACCATGAGATGATAAAGCACAAGCTTTCCTTCTCATGCCCTGTAACCCATGGCGCCACATCTGAAAAGGGCATCAATTTCATCCTCACAAAAACCTTAAAAAATGAATATTGATCCTCAATTTCTCCAAAAACCCAAATACCCAACAATTGAGCTAATGCATCCTTTACTGCCCACCTCATCAAAACAAACCCAGAAAGCCTTCTTAACCCCAAATTAGAACCTTCCCAAGCAGTCCTGAAAACTGACCTGTAATTCCCTAACACATTATCCAACACTTGCAAGAAAATTATCCCATGAATCCAAGTGTAAGTAACCAAAAAAGCCAATACCACATAAGCATAGGCAGCTGACAACAAACTAACAAGAAATAACAATGCTGTAGCATCACCACGACCCAATTCAAGACCTTTTATCAAAAACTGCAAATCAACAACACCATTTTCAGGATTATCAACCTGAGACAAATTATGTGTCTCTGAAGGAGACTTGAAAGAGATAAACCCATTACGAATTGCTTGAGGAAACAAAATCCCATCATCAATAATTTGGTCTGAGAACCCTAAATTCGGGTCAAAATTGGAAAGAATTACGTAAGTAGAATTCGGCTGAGGTTTAGAAGAAGGATGAAATAGGGATTTATCAAGGTCCGAATCCCCAGAAAAGAAATCATCATCCAGAGTACCTACACGGGATAGGTGAAGAAAAGGTCGACGGCGGCGATGGTGGTCACGTTGGAGCTGAGGATGCTGCAGCTGTTGACCAGAGAGGTCAATACGAGATAGAATGGATTTCAGAGAAGGGTCACGATCGATGAAGGAAGTGAGGTAGTTGGTACCATTTTCGACATTGGAACGGAAAGTGAGAATGAGAGAAGAAAGGAAGAGGAATAGGAGGAGATTGGAGATGAAGGTTCTCGTGGTTTGTTTGAGGATTTGGGTGGTTGTTTGGTGATTGATTGCTACCGGCGGCGGCGGAGGTTGTGGTGGTTGACGGTGGTCCATGGTGGTTGATTTTGAGAGATTCCGGCGGAGGTTAATTGTAGTTTGATTGGGGTGATATTGATAAATTTGACCACATTTGGGTGTCGAAGTGAAATTAACTAATCGAAAGAGTATAAGGAAAAGCAGCTCATCATCTAATAGAATACGAGGCGTTTTTAAATTTGTCACTAAATTTTATTTTAGTATTAAAATTGTAAGATATTTCGATTGACCATCGAAATCATGATAAAAAGTTCTTTAGACTCAAGAATTTATGTGTGTATAGTTAAGTATTTATTACGTAAATAAATTTGTTGTTAAATAACGAATAATACCTCATTTTATTTGATCATACGCCTTAATAATTCGTAAAATTACATATTTGTGTCAATTAATGTAATGTGTATTATTAAGAGACATATTATGTGATTAAAATTTTCATAACATGCATATCAACCTTTTTCAAAATACAATATGTTTTCAAATTTGTTAGTAAATTTTATTTAAATTTCAAATTACGAATTATTATAATTGAGCAACTGAACATATGATAAATATTTTTATCAAACACTTTCAACACAAATTATGGAAAGAGAAAAATTATGTGCAAACTCAAACATCCATTAAGTAATTAAATTATATTCACAATAAAAAGATCATACAACTCTTTTTTCTACTTATAAACTGCAAAGGTACAATTTGATTGGTCCACTACATGTTATCTTCTTTAATTATATATTCAGTCTCAATTGAAATAAGTCTAAGATTTTATTGTTTATGAAAACTAATATGTATAATTAAAAAATGTGACACATTTATAATGATTTACTTATTTATGTAATATGTACTTACAAAATTACGTAAAAAAAAGTTTATAATTTATATTAAATAAATGCGATAAAAATATTTTATCATATATTCAAATACTTAATTCAACGAACCGTATTAAATAAAATATATGGAGAAGTTCAAATAGTTGTATAGGTCTATGTCAATGTCTATGTATTAAGTCAATATAAAACAAAATTGTGTCCCCAACAAGATAACACAAGTGTTAAAACCTAGTGGGGCCATAATTATAGAAGTCATGTGATGAAAATTTAAATTAGAAAATCTTAAGGATTCTTTAAATAGTAGTCCTAGTAACACTTTATAGTCATCTATACATTTGTATTTAGTTTTTAAAAAATTATATCAGAAATTTTATTTTAATGCACATAAATTTTTCAAAAAATCTTTTCTATTTAAATAGTAAACGAGCTAGGTTCATATTTTGATAATGTAGATCCTAATTTGTAAAACTTTTTAAAATTGAAATCTAAAGCAATATGAACTCTATATCAAATACATGAAAGAATTGAACTTCCAGATACAATGACAATAACGAAACAAAAATAACAAACCTTTACATATTGTATTGATTGGCACAAATCAATTCTTGATATTTAGGCATACAAATGTGTAAAGAGAGTTTGTCTAGTTAGGTAGTTTTTTTTTTTTAATGACAAGGGAAATCCACAATCGCTACCTTTTGGGTGCACACACCCCTGCTCCTATGCAATAACTCGCAAACCACATAAGAGAGGTAACTTGCACTAGGCAAGCCCGGCATGACAAGCTTGACCCAGAAGGTAAACCCCTTGCTTTCGCTGGCAAGGGGTTTCAAACTTGAGACCTCCAACATGGAAGTCTCAAGACCAAACCACTGGGTCACCCCGAAGGATACTCTAGTTAGGTAGTTTTTCCAATAAGCAAATCATCCAACAAACAAACAATTCAATCTTCCTAATAGAGTTATTCTCAAATAATATACAAAAGGCAATCAAAATTCCTTACAACAAACCAGATATTTGGGAACAATAGCCCGAAAATTGGAATGAATTGATCAAGTTGAAAACAGTAGAACTCGATGATATGTTTCTCTCAATTGACGCATAACACAGGAAAACCAAGAACTAAGAATGAACTCATGCGAAATCTGGCTTCTCGGGGTATGTACAACCCGACCTCTGGAAGATAATGTTCGATGCATAACAACCTGCTCTTACACACTCAGCAATAGGCTTTTCTTGAACCAATTGTGACAAAAATCCTCCAACAAATGCATCCCCTATCAATGTAAGAATGAAAATGTTAAACGAAAATAGACCTTGAGTCTGACTCTAAACCCAAAATCTAGCTCATGACGACATGAGAATACCAAAGAGTATGTGAGGAGATAACACCTCATTTCTTCAGTTAATATGAGTCACTAAACGTAGAATATGTTCTCTAAACTATGATTTTGTCAGTTAAGGAGAGGTGGTTTAACTCTGTATAAGCGGAAACAGGTATAACAACAATGGACTACATACCAGTACCATTGGCGTCAACAAGTTTCTCTTTTGGCAACGGTATAACAGGGAACAGCTTCACCTTCCCATCCTCAGCGACAACAACAGGACCAGCACCCTGTGTAATAACAGTAATCCTCTTGTGTGTTCCAGATGCCTTTGGCCATTGGGAGATTTTCAAAGCTATTTCTTCAACATTATCCGTCTAGTAATCAAAGAAGCATGTTAGCCATGTACCATAAAGTCAACATCAATGTGAGGAAACACTAAGGAAAGCATCCATTACCTCCCAGCCGTGTACTTTTGAGAAGGTTCTTGCTTCTGTCTCATATCCAAATACAAAGTCCATATACCTGAAAAAAACAGAAAATGTCAATCCCGATATCAGTATCGTCTACCTTCATTTACCTTGACAAGGTAGGAAATTGGCCTTACGGCAAAGCTTTCTCTTGAGGATCCCTGAAGAACTCGCAGATGAATGGTGCTGAAAGGTTCATTGAGAAGATCTGCAGCAGCGTGGAATAAAATATTATATAGTTGGTTTATGCACAACAACATACCCAATGTAATCTCAAAAGTGGGATCTTGGGAGGGTAGTGCGTACGCAAACCTTACCCCTACCTTGGGAGGTGGAGAGGTTCTTTCCGATAGACCTTCGGCTCAAGTAGAGCATTACAGAGCAGTTTGAAAAGAAAACAACGAAAGTGAATAAGCTAAAACAAAATGTGATTGGTTCATGCAAAAACTACCAAAAAGACCAATCACACATAAACAATGTCAACTGCATACCTTGTTATTGGCTGCTGCGTGCTCAGCAACAAGCTGAATAGATTCTGGAGAAACGGTGAGAAAGAATCCAGCAATATAGTAAAATTTGGCCTTCTCAACTGTCCACAAATAGATGTGTTAGTTTAAAATAGATTGAATATCTTAGGTCTTATCAACATAGAAACAGGAATTGCTGTTCCTACCCAAGGCCCAGTTCTCTGGTCGTTTCAACTGGTCAACCTTGTAGCAACTCGCTGCTGATAAGTTAGCAATCAATGACCTGCATAATCAATAGCAGATCATCACCTTAACAAGAAAGCATGTGGAAATTCTTTTTTAATCATGTAGAGTGTTTCTTTTTCTCTTCCTTTCCCTCCCTGGATAACAAGAAGGAAAGACTAAACTCTACACCAGAACCATAGTACACAACTACACATATAACGGAAAATTGCATTAAACTAACCTCTCGCCATCCAGCACACAAACAGCACAAGTCCCTGTTGGAGCAGTCTCATCCTCATAGTAATGAACCTATTTTAATCCGTACATAAAGACAAGTTGGGGTCAAAGAATTTTGTTGTCATGTTATAAGTTCAAAGCATAGATGACAAAGGCAAACATGAGCAATAATCGTGCTAATGAATCCACAATGCACCGAAACACAAAAAGATTGTCAAACTAAGAAGAGAAAATCAAGGAAAAAGAATCTTACATTGACGCCAGCATCCTGTGCATTTTTCTTCATTTCCTCCCCAAACTTGTCCTTCCCAACTGAGCCCATGTAACTTGTTGCACCTGGAAATTGTAGGATCCACTGCAAATGCCAAAGGAAACTATTCTTCTGAATTATATGTTCATGTCAGATTGCCTAGAACCACTAAAAACTTAAGACGACAAGACACCTGAGCCACTCTGATTGAGTTTTGTGTTGCACCTGCATTGCAAAATTAAGACCACGAGATCAATGATCCTAGCATCTTCAATGCAGAATATTAATTAATACAATACAATGTATTGAGTGATGGGAAAATTACCTCCAGCAATGTATTCAACAGTGGGCTTGGCTGCCATTTCATCATACCTGGTATATAAAAGTTCTTTCAACAATTTTCTGACTAAAGGCATAAAAACAATGCTTAGCTTCAGAAGAACGTGGGCTGGTAGCCTCTCTTACTTAAGTTTGTGTCCCACTCCCCAAGCATACAACTATTCTTCCACAGTTCAAATCAGCAATGATAACAGGCTCATTACAACTTTTTGTAGGCTCACCCTTCACAAAGCTGGTTGGAAATGTTATTAAATAACACCTATTTAAGTATTAATTTATAGAAAGTGTATTCCCATCAGACGGACACTTAAACAGGAAAAAAGAAACCCCCAAACATCCTAAAACTTAAGAAATCTTAGAAAAAAACTACTAATTTTATTTCTCCAAACTAATTCTACAAGAAAAAGGAAATTGTGCCACCTACAAAGTCTATGGAAATTGAAGTTCTTCAGATTTACTCAGCACAGTATAAGCTAACCTAATGAAGTTGTTACAATTACAAAAAACTAAAGCCTAAAAAGAAACCACTTACATAGGCAAGTGCTTGTCCTCTGCGAGAATTGCATTGTTCGGCTCGATTTCATACCTATGAGTAAGAAATCAAGTCATTCACATGATACAATGGAAGGAAAAAAGATATACAAAAGCTGCAAATAAAACCAATTCATTTTTACCAACCAAAAGAACCAATGCAAGTAAAAAGCTAAAAACAATGATGGAGCCACCTTATGCTAAAGGGTGTCAATGCATTTTTACCAATCAAAAGACCCAATGCACTTTTAGAGCTAAAACCAGTAGCGGAGCCACCTTATGCTAATTTTTTTGTCAACAACACCCCCCCCCCCTCCCATACTATAGCCACCTGACTAGCCGTGTAGGCTCTGAAACACTACCAATAGTTACACAAATATTACACTAAGATCCAATTCAAAACTATAGCAAAAGAAAAAAAAATCACAT